GTATTTGTGTTGGCCTCATGAAAGCAAGTTTTCAAAATCCGATAAACACAAAAGTTTCAAGATAAGACATATTTTTGTGAAGGTTACAATCAAGGACCTCTTTATTTCAATTTTTGCTTTAAAATGACACACGAAACATTTAGCCAATAAACAGATATTAGAACATGGGGGGGCAAGTTGTCAGTATTTTAAACTCAAGGGCGTACATCGATAATCTGTAGCCACAACTCCCACGTCCCTAATAGATAGATATATAAAGTGAGTTTTCAATTTAGACTTTTTCTTCTAATTCGTAAGCAGCCATTTTCAAAATATTTCTCTTTCAGAATTTTAAAGTACTTGATCATTAAAAAATTTGATTCCCTAAGAATTTTTTATTTAAAATAAGTATTTATTTATTAAATAAATATAATTATCAATTAATCTTTAATCATCAGAATTATAATAAAATCTAACTTATAAATTAGAATTTAAATCAATATTTAACATTTTTTACAAATACTGGTGGAACCGACTAAAGATATTAATACTTTAAGGACTTTTAATGAATTATATCGTTTTGAAATTTTAGACTAATTTGAAATACTGATGAAAGTTTGAGGGTTTGTGATAGGATTATATTAATGGAGTCCTAACTCATAGGAACGTGTCTGGTTTGTAGACTTATAAAAAGATCTCTTTTCCATTGACAGCCATGAAAGGTTTATCTAAGGTCTAACTGGTTTTCTGATATTCTCAATTATCTGATATAAGCTTCAACCTCTTCAACATCCTTATTCCACTATGCTGCCGGCGAAAATCTTGGGCTGCCGGCTTGTTAATCAGGCCAAATCGCCGATTGCTTCGATAATCTTCTTTTCTGTTCTAATGGTTTTCATGTTGGCAGATACCATGATTTGTAACATATCACTGGAACCGGCTGCTTTCACTGATAAAGAAGATTCACATATTCTTAAAGTTGTAAGAAAAACCAGTTCGGATGTTGTTGTTCCTCTACCATTGACCGTTTCTAGACTAAACAAGATCATTAAAGTCGATGAAGAACATCGGAAGTCTGTACCTTCTTCCTTGAGTGTTCGAAAAGAACATGGGGTCCGGAAATTCATGCGAAAAGTAGCGGAGTACGGGATTTTCGAGTCCGATGACTTGACCAAGAAGTTCCATGGTCGAGTTCTGGAATTCTTCGACAATGGATGTGAAGTTCACTTCTTCATGACATGGATTTCACCGGTTGAGTCCTTCGGGAGAAGGGAAACCATGGCTGTTGAAAGCGTTTTCAAATCCCACCCCAATGGTTGCTTGACGATTCTATCGAGAACCATGGACTCGGTCCGAGGTTATCGGATCCTGAAACCACTGCTCGATCGTGGTTTCAAAGTCACGGCGGTGGCGCCGGACTTTCCGTTTCTGGTCAAGAACACACCGGCCGAAGCTTGGTTTAACGACATGAAGAGTGGTAAAAAAGACCCCGGTGGGATCCCATTGGCACAGAATCTCTCGAATTTGATCAGACTCTTAGCGTTACACAAGTACGGAGGCGTTTACTTGGACACGGACTTCATCGTGTTAAAAAACTTTAAAGGGCTGAAGAACACGATAGGAGCACAAAGCATCGACTGCACGTCGAAGAACTGGACGAGATTGAACAATGCAGTGTTGGTGTTCGACATGAACCATCCACTTGTATTCAAGTTCATCGAGGAATTCGCTTTGACATTTGACGGGAACAAATGGGGACACAATGGACCATACATGGTTTCCAGGGTGGTCGGAAGAGTTGAACGCCGTGCTGGTTATAACTTCACGATCTTGCCACCTATGGCATTTTATCCGGTCGATTGGCTTAAAATAGGGAGCTTTTTCAAGGTCCCGAAAGACCGAGCAGGCTCGAGATGGGTTGAAGCTAAGGTGCAGCAGCTAAAAGAGAAGGCATATGGAATTCATCTATGGAATAAACAGAGTAGCAAATTGAGGGTTGAAGAAGGAAGTGTGATGGAAAGATTAATGGCGGAACACTGTGTTTTGTGTAAAAATGTATACACTTCTTAAAATGTATGTACTTTTGTGAATTAATGTATAGCAGTGACAAGTGATACTCCAATTTTGGTAATGTGAAAAGCACGAGCATGTCAACTTAATGGGATTAACTCCTTTGTCAAAATCATATAGTTTTCATCAGCCACTTTTCATGGTGAAACAAAAATGTGCGACAATCAATCTATCGTAATGATTGAATGCATCAGAAATGGCCCATTAAAGCTTTAACATTAACAGATATAAAACCAAACTATTACCGTAATTATGTTTATCTACAACTCCACAACCGTTGAAAAACTCCGATTTGCAGCAGAGATGAGCAATTTGTTTCGGAAGATGACAGTGAGAAATCTGTTTCGTGTGCTATTTGTACGAGCTCTGAAATCTCTGACAGTCTCGAACATATCAGTTTTGTTCATCTCAGCGGAAACCGTCTTCTTTATAGTCTATGAAAACATGGTGATTACTCATCGTTATATGTATCTTGAGGATATCACAGCAGAAGGAAAGATGGAAGGGGTTGATAGTGTATACAAGGATCCTCTAATTCCCCCATTCAATGCAACCAGGGAAGAAAGGATAGCTTGGTTCGAGATGGAGCTTCCGAAATTGGAGTCATTCTAATCGAGAAGCTCGAACTCGAAATTCCATGACCAAGTTGCGTTTTTCACGACAGTAACTGTACGGTGCAGTACTTCATGGTATGGCTTTCACCAGCTCAGTCATTCGGGGTAAGGGAATTCTCAGCTGTAGACAGCCTCTTCAAGGCAAGTCCTAAAGGATGCTAGATGATTCTATCACCATCTCTTGATTCAAGACAAGGGGACCAGATTCTGAAACCACTAATCGATGGAGGGTTTAAAGTTCTCGCGGTGACACCGGATTTGCCCTTTTTATTGAAGAACACCCTGGCTGAGAGTTGGTTCAATGAGTTGAAGAGCGGTAGACAAGATCCGGGGAGCATTACGCTGTCCTACAATCTTTCCAACTTGATCAGGCTTGCAATACTATACAAGTATGGGGGAGTTTACTTGGATGTAGATTTCATAGTTCTCAGAGACTTCATCGGACTGCAGAACGCAATCGGTGCACAAAGCATAAGTTCAATCACCAAGAAATGGACACGAATAAACGGTGCAGCCATGATCTTAAACGAGGGGCATCCGATTCTATACGACTTCTTGGAGGAATTCGCAGCAACCTTCGATGGAAGTAAATGGGGACACAATGGACCATACCTGATTTCCAGAGTGATTCAAAGAGTTGAAAACAAACCAGGTTATAACATCACAATCTTGCCACCTAAAACCTTTTATCCAATGGATTGGATCAAAGTAGCCAGATATTTTAAGAAGCCCTGCCCAGAATCAGAACAGAAATGGGTTGAATACATGTTGATCGAACTCGAAAGAAGCACTTACGCGATACACATATGGAGCCACCAAACCAAAGAGTTGGCGGTCGAAGACGGAAGCGTCGTGCGAAGACTAATCTCGGCTCACTGTGTTATTTGCCATCAGAGGAACCTATTGACGGTCCAACATAAAACCAATTGGATGTAGGTGAAAATGGTCCACTTGAATACAAAAAACCACAGGCAATTCAGAATTTATTTGGGATGATACAATTTTGTTTCTAAGTAGGCAATCATCAATAGCTAGCTAATCCTCCTGTAAAACTACATCCAAATATTGTTTTTCATTCCTCAACTTCATGTGCAGTAATAGAAATTTCCTACCTGTGTTCATGCAAGACAACAGAAAAGAACCAAAATTTAATTTCCATTACAAACCTTTCAAGTTTCACCAAAAATGGGTTTTGATATGGTACTTAAATTGCCAGAGGAGTGATTAAAGCGCTTCCCTCTGTTTTTTTATCCCTTCTTTCACAATACTAAAGAGAAACTTTTAGCGTCAAAATTTACCCAGAAACTTAATGATAGTATAAATATACATGGTTCACAGATTACCTATGTTGAACTATGAGAAAGTGGTATAACAAAGGAGATTTGTATTTTTTTTAGTTACAAGGATAAAACCGCGTTAGCGGTGGCTAAGTCTTCTCCGTTGGGGATCTAGATCAGAGTTTGGAAGTCTTTGGACGTCCAGGGGAATGATTGAGAAACCCAGGTTCATTCCGCGGCCAAGTTTAGTCAAATAGTCAGCAACTCTATTGGTTTCGCGTTGGCTGCGGCTCAACGAGATGCACCATTGCTTATTAAAGAAGGCCCGGATCCGTCTGATGATCGTTGCTTCATAAGGCCGAGCTGGAGAAACTAGACATCGAACCGCTTGCAAACAGTCGGTTTCCACCTCCAGATGGCGGATACCGCTGCTCCAAGCTATGCTCAGTCCGTCAAGGATTGCCCACAGTTCCGTTTGGAGAATAGAACAGTGACCGATGTTCCTTGTGTACCCTCTTATCCATTCACCATTTCTATTGCGAATGACCCCCCGTCCGGCTGGAAGCTTCCTTCGCAGTGTTGATGACTCCCCCATCAGTGTTAAGCTAGTAGAATCCCTCCTTGGGGCTCTTCCACCTACCGACCTTTCGACCCTGGATCTTCGGATAGTCATCGCCCAAGCTTTGGCCGATTGTATCTTTTCCGTTGTAGCCCATATACGTTTATTGAACACGAAATCATTCCTGTTCTTCCAGAGCTTCCAGCAAAGGATTCCGAAGAGCTGTCTCCATTCCCAGTAAATGTTAGTGTTTCCTGCAGAAAATTCCAAATTAAGTCGAAGCCAATCCAAAGTAGAAAGGGAAGAGAAACAAACAGGTTCCAGATTTCTTGGAACCAGTTGGTTCCATATATTCTTGATGTGGCAACAATCCGTAAGGGTGTAGAGAATGGTTTCCGCTGTGGCTCCGCACATCGGACATCTTGTCCGTCGATATGCCTCTTCTAGTTCACTCCACGTTCATCATCAACCGCTGTCGAAGAGCAAGCCATATGAACTGTTTCACCCGTTAAGGCCCATCGTAATTCTAAGCGAGGTTCCAGCAGCTGTCGCTTGATTCCCAAGTATCTTGGTGAGAATTGTAGCAGCTGACTTCACCGTGTATTGCCCATCTTGCTCCCATCTCCAAATAGGCTTGTCGTGTCCAAACTTGTCGCTGGGACAAGGTGTACCCAATATTCATTTAACAAGCTGCCCATCGAGGCAAAGGTTTAGTTTTTGAACGTTCCACTCTCCTTCATTGGTGGCAACGTCTCTGTCGGTATCTTCAGTGTTAATAACTTGAGTGTGATTACCCAACTCAATAAGTTTATTAATACCGGGTAGCCAAGACTCTGTCCAAAACTTGGTGTCCTTTCCATTTCGATGGACCAGCCAATATTCGCGTTAACATGCTTTCAGACATGGGCTAACGATTTCCAGATGAAGGAGCCGTACTTCGCTTCAATATGATGGGGTACCGGTTGCGTGATTTTATACTTAGAACGGATGATTCTATCCCATAAAGTATCGGTCGCATAATCAAATTCATTCCCAGTTTCACAAGGAATGCTTCGTTTTGGGAGGTGAGATGTCTAATTCCGAGTCCACCACGATTATACGGCTGGCAAATCGTCTCCCACCTCAGGAGTGCGACTTTTGGAGAGTTTCAGGATCCACCTCAGATAAAGCACCGCACAATCTGCTCAATTTGATCACAGACACCCTTGGGAATAGCTGCCGTTTGAATAAAATAGTTAGGAATGGATAGGAGCGTCGACTTGGCCAATGTGATCCGACCGGCTAGGGAGAGTTTGGTATCCGTCCAATTACAAAGCTTCTGCCGGACTTTATCGATTATGAACTGAAACGTGTTCTTGGTGACCCTGTTGTGGAAGAGAGGCATGCCCAGATATTTCCCCAAGTCCTTGGAGACCTGGAAGCCAAGAGGGATACACAACTGATTGATAAGCTCGTCGTTTTTGTTTCCCGTGAAGAAGACCCTCGTTTTATTCGAGTTGACCATGTGCCCGAAAAATCGGCTGAACTGGTCTAAGATTGCTCCCAAGAGGTTGACTTGATCGTGATCCGCCCTACAAAATAAAATGAGATAGCAATAAAACCACCTATTCCCATAAGCCAACGTCCATCGTATACTGGATGCTATGACCCAGACGCTCCATGCAGAGAACGAATAGATACGGGAAAGGGAACAGCCCTGCCAGGATCCCTTTAGATGGTTTGAACTCACCAGTTAGACCAACATGCTACAAAACTTGCATTGACCAAGAAGAGACAGAGTCCATAATAACGCGACGGATATTCTCCAGACATCCTATATCAATGAGTGAGTCAAGTAGAAAATCCCAATCAGCTTTATCGTAGGCTTTCTCAAGATCTACTTGGACAGCTAGCCACCGGGACTTCCCTTTCTCAAGGAGATTTGTATTTAGAAGACTTAACTTTTTTACAGTTGACAATCTCGATTATATTGTCTAAAGTCTTTATAAGGAGATAATTTATCTCGATTATTGTAACGAGAATGACGAATAAAGACATAGATATATTAGTATCAACCGGTCATGTAATATATTGGATCCATTATGAATGATATTCAACTATTTTTTTTTTATAGAATTCATTAGAGTTATTAAAAGTAAAAATATTCAAAATTATAATAAGTGTTTATGATTATCATCGTAAATTAAATATATAATTTGGACATTTACTTATAACATTGAAACTAACCACTTTATATCATATAATGACCGAACCATATATGGAAAAGGTTAAAAACCCAATTAGAAGACACAAACAAAAAATAAATATGAACAAATTTGATTGCATCGGCAACTGAACCACAAATAGAGATTAAACTATAGAAATACCACTAAGAGCTGCAAATCAGAACCGAATATACGAATGCAAAATCACACATCCAAATTCAATCTAAAGGTCCATAGTAGGGAACATCAACATGATTATAAATAAGTGTCATCTTGATCAGTCGTGACGTCGTCAAATCTCATCCTGAGAAACATAAATAAAAGAATGACCAAACGATTGAGAAAGAAAACAAAAAACGTGTTACAAAGACATATAAAAACGTGTCACAAAGGCAAATTATTCTTATTATAAAACTAAAAAAGAAATAAAGTGAAAAGAGAATCGACATACAACAACTAATATAAAAATTAGATTCGCAATCAGCTAAACAAAATCAAAGAAGAAAAAATTGATCTAATTTATAAAAAACGACACAAATTCTAAACAAAAAAGGGAGAGGGAGAGCGACTAGGGTTTGAACTATTTTTTAGAATAATTCACTTATGACGTTTATTTTCTGTCAAACATTCACCACAAGAAATTGCATTTTCAGTGACACTAAACATGATCATCAAAACTATCAAATTTAGTCACAAAATATCATAATGATAAAAAAATTTAGTCGACATTTATCGTCACTAATAACTCCATCACTATTATATTAGTGATGAATTTAATGAATTTTATCACAATTACTTATGTTTTTTATGACTACATTTTTTGACACAAAAAGATTGATAACAATGATGAAAAATTGGACATTAATATTATCCTCTTATTACTGAAAATTATTTTATCACAACTACAAAATTAAATTGATTAATTAAAAAATTCATTATAAAAACAATTATAATAAGATATTACATTTTTAGTTATATTTATCTTCTTTATGAACTTATAATGCAATCACTGTCATTAGTTATTTATTCATTAATGCTAGATTATGTGACATCTTCACATATTTTTTTGTATAACAACTGATATTCAATTTATTAACTGACTAATTTGGATTGAGTACTACATAGGTGAGGGTGATCATACCAACCTAATTTGCTTATCGGATCTAGTGTCTCATCTTGCTAGAACAACTGGTTGTTGGTTCCACATTTAATTTTATGATAAATTAATACAATATATGACTTTTAAGATGATCGAACCTAAGATCTTCAAGGAAGGGTGCAACACCTAACCACTATACTAAAAAAGAAATATTTGGCTTTGACAAAATAATAATATCTAGGTTAACCTATTGTTGGAATTAATTGTATTTATTTTATGAAAATATATTAATTATAATATTAGTTATTATAATTGATAGGTATGGCTCATAAAAATGAAAATGTAGTATAGAGAAGCAGGGTCGATCCACAGGGACTGTGATGTTTCTGATTTAATAAAACTCTTTCTTGATTTTAGAAAAAGATAGAATTCCAGATGAAGTTGAAAAGATATATTAAAATAAAATAAATAAATAAAGAAAAATATATATAATAAATATTAATAGTAATAAATATAAAAGGGGGATTTTTTAAAAAGTTGTGGTTAAAATAAAAAATAAGAATTAAATAAAAGAAAAAAATAATTAAATAAACAAATTAAAGAGATTAAGATAAAGAGAAACTTATTGTGAAAGCAGCCTCAGACTTCAACTTCGCCTCAATTCCTCGGATCATCGAAACAAATTTTTACTTCAAGATTCACGTAAGCTTACAAGAACAATTCTTCACTGCCAACTCGGATTGTGTCGTTTCAACAACAACTGATTCTGATCTCAGTTTCTTCTTAGCAAACAATTTTGCTAAGTGTGTTCTCGGAAAGTTGAATATGCTTCAATAAGCAAATCCTTCTTCAAACATTAACCATAACAATATCCGGACCAATGTCGAAATAGTTTTGATTTGAAAAGTAAGCTTCAGAAAACAGAGAGAAAATCTGAAGCGATTTAAGTACCTTACAATTCTCATGTTTGGAATTGAGCCTTCACTTTAGTCTTCGGCTTGAAAGAAAATTAGCTAAGCATAACCAAAGTCATACTTAGCATAACAGAAAAATATGCAAAAAATAGAGAGAAACCTAGAGAGAAAAAGAAGATTTTATTCTCAAATGAGAAAGATATGTTTCTAGGCTCACCCTTAGATGGTATTTATAGCCTTCAAAATCCTAAAAATAAGCTAAAACATCTTAAATCCTAATTAAAACACTTAAAACTATTTAAACTAAAATACCTAAAAAATAATATAATATTCTAAATCCTAATTAAAATACTAAAACCTATTTAAACTAAAATACAAAGATAAAGTTAAAATATAAAAATAATATCCTAAAACTTAATTAAAATACTAAAAACCTATTTAAACTAAAATACAAAGATAAAATATAATGTTTAAAATATTATCCTAAATTTGAGTTTAATCCAAATCCGAATTCCAACCAGCTTTGATTCCGAAAATAAAAAATCTGCAAAATTGTGTCCTTTTTGTGCAATTTCCATAATCTTACGTCCTGTACAGAAAATGAATTAAAATAAATAAATAAGCCACAAAAATCAATGATTAAAGAGTAATTTAAAAGTAAAATATTAACTAAATTAAGCACTTATCAATTATGCTGGTGTATATGTCAGGAAGAGAAAATTGCTCACAATCTTATGTTATCCACCCTGTAAGGCAGCCCCACAAATGCATCACCTCTTAAATTTAGTATGTTTAATGTAAGAATGGAACCATTAAATAGTCATGTCTTCAGAATATCTTTCTTTCACATATACAAAAATTTTGATTGGAAAGAAAGTGTTGCTCCGAGTTCCATAACTTGTCTGAAAAGAAAAGAAAGTTCCAGGTTGCAATCCACAACTACTTGGACAGGTTGGGATCTTTGAAGGAAATCTTATATACCTCCATTCATCCTATAAAAACAAGAAAAAATAGGTGCAGTAAAAGGACATAAATGATGCATGAGGTTCATTTTCTTTGTAAAGAGGGAATAAAGAGGGGACCTTGAGGCTCAGACTCGGCATATTCTCTTTCCATATGCTTCTAAATTGAAGAGAGCAAGTAAGGGATATTTACTGCAAAAGAGGCAGTCCTGACTTGTTAGTGTGTTGATCTATAACCATATTTATTTGTTGGGTAAATTACAAATTTGGTAACTAAATTTTAATCTCTCTCACATTTCACTCATTGTACTTTTGATAGGTATGGCTCATAAATATACCAGTAAAGAGGACAGGGGATCTTTCATTAAAATTCTATGAGACATTGAATAGGTATGGCTCATAAATATAACCAGGTTTTTTATTATAAATAGAGATGTAACCTAAACCTATGAGACATTAAATAAAACTTCTAGCGCCGCCTAGGCACCGATGACGTAAGCACATTGCCGAACCTCGTTAAAATTCTTGTGTTCTTTCATTTTCTTTTTTCGATTTTTCAACAATTGGTATCAGATATCAGGAGCAAAATTCGAAGTTACGAAAATTTGATGGTCAGGGTAACTTCGAATTATGGAAAACGAGGGTGAAGGATCTGTTGGCGTAGTAGGGGATCCTGAAGGCTTTGCGACCAATAAAGCCGACGTCGATGGAGGAGGACGATTGGGAAGAATTGCAACAGCGAGCGGCAGGAACCATACGATTATGCTTTGCGGACGAGGTTATGTATCACGTCATGCATCTATCATCTCCAGAAGAAATTTGGAGAAAGTTAGAAAGTTAGTTTATGTCCAAATCCTTAACGACAAAACTGTATCTGAAGCAGCGGCTGTATGGGCTGAAGATGCAGGACGATCATGATTTGGCGTAACACGTGAATGTCTTCAATCAAATCGTTTATGATTTGGCTCGGCTTGATGTGAAAATTGAGGATGAAGAGAGAGATGATTCTGTTGTGTTCGTTGCCTCCCTCTTACGAACACATGGTGACTACTCTTACATATGGGAAAGAGACTATCAATGTTGAGGAGATTACTGCAGCATTGTTGGCTCACAATCAGCGGAAGCAGAATGCAGGGAAAAACTCTCAAGCCAATAGCTTATATGTCAAGGGTAATCGAGATTGTGGACGGAAGCCAGAGAAGAAAGGGTCTGGCAAGCGAAATTCCAGATCCAAATCTATGGATAAGAAGACAATTCACTGTTACAAGTGTAAGGAGGTGGGACATATGAAGCGAGACTGTCCGAAGTTAAAAAAGCAGACTGATAAGAAGCGTGATGTTTCATCCAAGTCTGTGAACGTGGTCGAGGATGATAATTCTGATTGCAGTGAGGGTGATATGCTTTTTATTTCAACGACTCAATTGACGGATACGTGGATTCTTGATTCTTGATGTTCTTATCACATCAAGCCAAATAGGGAATGGTTTTCGACATACAGGTCGGTTAATTATGGTTCTGTTTATTTGGGTGATGATCGATATTGCAATATTATTGGTATTGGTGATGTCAAAATTAAGATGTATGACGGCTCTGTTCAGACGTTGAGTGGTGTTCAACATATCCCAGATTTGAA